TGTAAAAGAGACAGACACAATGGTAGAAAAAAAGGTGAGGCGAGTACCGTGAGGGATCGAATATGGCATAGAGTAATGTGATGGTAATTTAAAGTGAGAAGTCAACTGCCGAATAATAGACTTTATTACCGTATGAGTGCACGTTGCCCAGGGTGCACCACGTGGAGGTAAGTCTATCGCACACCCCTAGGGCCTTATTATCAATATATATATATATATATATATATATATATATTATTGCGCAAAACACGAGTCAATAAAAGTGCAGTGAACTTGAGCTATCGGTTGGTACAACTGTTTGCTCACATGACAGGAATTTACACGGCTAATGGGCCATTAAATAAGCGAGCGCCCTTAACGGCAACATAGCTTGCGCAGAAGTCTGTTGATATTCTCATTGTCATCCTATTGTAAGAATTGAGCTTAATGTCAGTTTCATTTGAGTGAGACCCGTAAGATTCTGTAAAAAATCTTCTTGTGTTTGGAGTGGTGCATCACTTTCCCAAATTGGAAGTAAGTGCAATCTATTAGAAAGGAACGAGCAAAATAGTCACCTTGCATCGTCATTTTGCGCTGACCCAAGTTTAGATAGACGGTCTTCCAAGAACAGAGTATGGACTATTTTCTCATCCATTTCAAAATAAAAAAAAGCTAAAATATTGAACGGTTCTAACTTGACTTGGATTTATGCATCCATCATTCACAATAGCTTCCCTATCAGGTATCATGTGGTAATATTTTGTACTTTATAATTCGGCATTCGATCCCTGTGAGTGTGTCAACAGAAACATTTATTGACTCGATGATCATTTCATTCCAAATGCCTACTACTAAATAGGGAGAGGCTGGTCCGGCGCACGGGACCATAGTTAAATTAGTGCATGCTGTGGCACTGTCATAGAAATCAATAAGTGCTATATGGGTAGTTGACAATAAAAGACGACGACTGATATGACTGACCATAAAGACGTTAATTAACTTTCAGTAATTCGAGGCTAGCTAGAACAAAGTCCTACTAAGCGCCTTGCCACACTCAGCACGAATCAAGCAGGACAGTAAGAAGTAACCATCGTGATAAGAGGAGTGATTTCTTTTTTCCCCAACAACCTTTTGTTTATTTATTGATCAGCGCTTTCAAGAATTACAAAAGAAGACCTTACAGACAGGCAATTGATATGGACGGTCATCGAATATGGGTAACACTGTGGGTTAATGAGGTTAACTTACTAAAGAATTGGCTAATATATGGATTTTTAAGGTTAAGGTCACATTTTAAAATAAAACTGATAAGAAATTCGCAGTGAATCCATTAGAGAAATAAAAAACTAAGGCATAACAATACCATATTGTATACATTATATACAAGAAAAACCGCATTAACCATAGTAGAAGATGATCAAAAACAACAAACAAACGAAGTAAAAAATGCAATAGCAGTTAACTGTGCGCATGCTAGAAATAAAGAGCCCAGGCAACGAGGAACCTATTGCATTAATAAAATTGCACTACATAGGTGGACCAAGATTTTGTGATGGATGCGGAGGTGGGGGCATTTGATGGTGGTGTGAAGGCATCGGTGGTGGCTGCTGCTGTGGAACTATCCGGGGATGCTGTTGAGGCCCCCCACCAGCGGGAACACTTCCAGATGCTCCGCCTGATTGACCTTGAGCTTGCTGCTGGTTGGCTGGCTGTTGAACTATGGGACGCGGCATCTTAGTCAGTATAAGCGTCGGTATCTCATTCTCCATGTCCATACGTTCTAGCAAATCATAATGGGCGAGGATATATCTGACAACTTCTAAAACCTATTCGCGAGAGAAAAAATAGAATCATTGCGTCTCTAATGTAAATCCTGGTCAAAATAATTGATTTAATTTATAACAAATGGCAGGCATTTTGATAGTTTCATTAACCCTTTAGGTGACTTCAGGCCTCACAGAAAAGAATAAATATCAATGTGGAAAACATTTCGAGAGGGGGGGGGAACAGAAGGGTATTTCAAAGATGTAAAAGAGAGACACAAAGGTAGAAAAAGGTAGGAAGAGTACTGTGGAAATAGTCGAATATAGCATAGAGTGGGTTGATGGTAGACTGAAGTGAGAAGTCAACTGCCGGTCAATAGACTTTTTTGCCGTATGAATATACGTTCCCCAGGGTGCACCACGTGGAGGTAAGTCTATCGCACATCCCATAGTGAAATATTAGCAGCATGAAAAATAGCACTACAGAACCAGAGATTTTAGAGTACCAAAAGAGGACAATGTAGATTTTTTCAGAAATTTAACAGATGACCATGACCAAAGCTAGCATTTTTCACGAAAACAATAGTTCCAGTTACTCAATTTCATAAAGCGTTAAAAGAATAAAAACCTAAAAGCCAGGCACGTTGACGACATATAAAAAGAAATAAAAATATTATCCCCCACTAATTGAGTGCCGACAAGAAGTTAAAACTCAATATTTGTGATGCACTTGAATAGAATACATCAAATTTTGTGATATTTCTTTTCTACTCGTACTACCATTACATTGGCAACTAGGCGTGATAAAAAGGCAATAAAAGCCCCCCTTTGAGTTACAAGTTTCCCGACTATTTTCAAGAGTAACTGAGTAACAACAGCTATAGTATACTTCAATGGGGTATAAAGCAGAATCAGAACGACAGATTAGGGTGCACCACGTGGAGGTAAGTCTATCGCACACCCCGTGTCGGTTATATAATTATTGCTACAAACAGGGTAATGAAGCAATTTGATTAAAGACAAAATTATTCAAGCCTATACTCGATGTATCAGACTATAGTATTAAATGCTGATCCGAAATGGTAAAAGTGATTTTGCATGGTACAAACTAACAAACACGGAAGAGAAGTGTGGGTTCACTTCCATCTTGATATCGTAAGAAAAACCAGCTACGATTTTGTAAAAAATTTAAAGAAAAGTTAGATAAAAATTTGTAGAGCTGGGGACAAAAAAATTTATAAAATTAATGGCAAAAGGATTTGCTTTAAGAACATAAAAAATAAAGCATACCTTCACAAGGTCGACATTGAGCTCACTAAACCACTGTTCGGCAATAGCCAGAGCATTACTACTTGACTGATTTGAAAAATAAAGGGAATGATGATCATTAGCATTTTCAGAAGTTGACGGTGGCCTCTTTGAAAGGGATATTAGTGCTAACTGAACGCAACCTAAAACATAATTTAATTTACAAATGGGTAGGCTCACCTAGAGCTATTAAATAAGGAGGATAATGAAGACACAGGTCAGTACGAAGCGTATCATTCGCAAAAGCCCTAAAAGATTAATTGTCGTTAAGAAACTAAAGATTAAAACTAACCATGCTCGTTGCAAATGCTCTTCTGCAAGATCAAGTAAATGGGGTTTCAAATCATTGCAAAAATTAAGAAGCGGCCGATAGGGATGAAAAACAACCAGAGAACAATCCATAGCTTCCATTAAGATAAACTCGCACTCAAAAACATCGTGGGTTCGATAAGGGTATACATAATCCTTGAAGTATTTGGAATACTGACTACTTACTAACGAGTAAAATTAAAATTCAGAGGCAATAAAGCATACCAACTTTGCAACAAGCTGTAATGAGACTTTTTGGTTGAATGACGCCGTACTCTTCAACTTTAGATGCCAAAAAGAGACAAGATGGTGCCATTAACCAAGGATCTATTGATCTCAGAGAAGTCCTAAAAAGGATAGAATATTACAGCAAACTAACCTACTATAGAATCTGCGAAAATATACAGAGGCTGTCGCAATAACTTGTTGCCGGACTTCAACACTTTTGCCAAATGCTTGGATGACATCAATAAAAAATATCATAATTTTCTGATATTCTTCCTCAGATCCCAACTTCTTTAAATCATTGGCTCTATATTTTAAAACATCTTGTCGATCTAAAAGCCATTCTAGGCTGAAAATAATATTAAAGAAATAGCCAAACTAAGCATTTCTTACTAATGCGAGCTTTGCCAGAAATTCCCAGCCATTGCTATAAAAAATCAGGACAGGACCTTGATTATTTTGAAATAACCACGTATCTACAAGTTAATTTAAATAACGCATTTAGCGCGAACAATTTTAAAGTAAAATTTTAATTAGGAATCTTTTATATGTAAAATATATTGAAAATTAATTATTTTTTCGCGTAATTCTTTGGTATTTTTTGTCTATCCCCTGCCTCTCAAATCATTTTATAAAATTTCTTACTTAACTTACACACTTTCGATTTCAAACCGTCTCCACTAGATATCCCCAACTGCACTTTTTAATAATAAACCCATTAACCCGAATTCGCCTGTTAAAACCACAAATTGATAAGTAAGCACTTTTTTAGCATGAAATGATCACAGCCATACAAATCAACAGCCACCAATCAGCTGTGAAACAGCAACCGAATCTGGTTTTCCTTTGGACATCCAATAACCATCCTATCCTCCTCTGAGTAGTGTTCATCAATAACAGCTCCAAACTTTCTCCATGTCTGAACAACTCCATTTTCAATTGGCCTCATAATAATGGCCACTGTATTTGCATTCCCCAAATAGAGAACTAGTTTTCTCCTTATTGCTGCAAGAGTTTTTGGTGAAAGACTTGTCTCCTGTTGGTTGAATGACAGTTGTCTGAATGACGCAGACACCGTTTCCTTGATTCCGTTAGGAGGGCCAAGTGGCTGGGAAGAAACACTGGATGACGCTAATTTCGCCTAAAAATAACAAGTGATATTTGCATAAAATCATGATTTAATTTATACATTTCACTTCAGCAGACATACCATCTCAAGGAGGTGGGATATCTGTCCGGTCAGTGCCCTTATTGAATCAGATATAAAGAGTTCACAGGTCAGTTTCAACTGCCTATCTAATTGTCTTCGGGAATCGACATCATTATCAATAACTGTCGGACCTTCTAGTAATAATAGCCTTAGGAGGTGGTTTGCCTTGCTTAAATCGAAAAATTTCGATCCGACTTTTGGCAAAACCTGATAGGCTGCATCTAAAAGGATGCAAGAATTAAAAATGCCATAGTATTGAGAAGATGGAAGAAATGGGTATAAGAATATAACTAACTAGTTATATTTGAGAAGTCCAGAGTAGTTTCTCGAACTCTAAAGTCAACGTTAAATGGTGTGACTTGTTCCCGAAGAATAAGGAGATGTTTTATGAAGAACAATTGACCATCACTAGGAGTACGACGTGTCTCAATACGTTTCTGCGCAAGTAGCAGAGAATCGATGCATGATGAAAGGCAGTTTTGTGCTAAGCCTTGGAATGACTCAACCTATAAGATGAAAGATTGTTGAATTCATCAACATCTCAGGTGTACGAGATGATGACTTCCTAAAAACGACTTACGTCAAGACAACGACTTAAGCCTGAAATACATACTAATGCCCTTCGAACAGTAGGATACCACATTCCATGAAAATCAGTGGAATCCGTAGAGGATGCTCTCCCTTGAACTTCAGATGATGATTCACTTTTATCTGCCTGACCTTGCTGCTGCTGTTGCTGGAGATTTGAAGTGATACTCTAAAACGATAAGAATAAAATCTTATTCTCGTAAACCTTTCAACAATCGAATGACAGAAAATAAGTGCGCTGAGTGACCAGTGAGTAAAAAGTTCTGAATGAATGAATAAAAGCCAAGTTGTGGGTTTTAAAAAATCCTAACTCTATGAGAAGAGAAGTGTTTAAAATTGGATTGAGGGAACTGCATATTGATAGTAAATAAATCAGATACAAGTTGTTAAACAAAGAGAGTACTCTAGCCAGTCGGCGGGTATGTGGTTATTTTAATCTGCAAATAAAGTAGTGAAGTTGATGAGAGTAAAGTAGGAGTAGACTGCTTTCAAAATCAAGTTGAAGGTATCTTTATTTTGATAAGTCCATGAATTTTCAATCATTTTCAGATACTTCCGTTCTTAAAGTTTAAATAAAAAGGGGGTTTCAAAACATTACTCCATTTATAGTGATTGGGTTATCCATATTCCACCTACTTCCTACAGTGTACCTTCACCTAACATCGGGTGTGATTATTAAGTCAGATGTTGTAGGTCAAGTGCTCTCTTTCGATCTGCGTATAAATAGAAGGTTCTATGCATGAATTCTAAGTATCGGGAAGAAGTGGTTAATTTAAAGAAGGATCAAATGATAGTTAGCTGCAAATGATAAGATATATATTCAGAGCGTATAGCTAGGAAATGTGGTTTACGATGTAAATAATTCCCAGCCTTCATCTGGAGTAGAGTAATACAGCTGAGCCTTCTTGATAAAAGACTCAAATTCTGACTTAAAAAGAACAGTTAAACATTCCAATCACTGGATGTGGCCTGATGGAAATCAAACCCGTGGCAACAAGCAGAACAGACGTAAAAAATGAAGCACCTAACCACAATTAATTTAAACAATGTAACTACTGAAATGAAACAAAAAGAGCCTTCAGTATCTAATGCAATGAATGGTATAAAGTTCAGAAATGGTCATCGAAAAAGAGAGGCAAATACGCAATGAACTTAAACAAATCCCTAACACCTCTGAGACGCAATCAACAATAAGCTAATTGTTAATGTGAGTAGAAAGTTAGTTACCTCAAGCATTTCCAACTTCTCAGGATAGGCGATATCACCGGGACCAGGTTGATAATCCTGTATCTGCGATTTAATGTAGATATGGGCTCGATAGATCAGTCTCTGTTGTACATCCGCCAGTAAAGTTTGGCACATATTTTCAAACGCTGTGAGGTCTACATCTAAACGAAAAAAACGTCGATAATAATTCAAATATAGCATACTCTTATTAGCAGTTGCGTTGTCTTCAATGAACTCGTGAATTAGTAGATCGCATAACTCCGTCAGGATTTCAATATGATTAATATGAACAAGGAAGGGACGAAGTGCGTCGTAAACACAATTGCAAAGGTTTGTTAACATCGACCTATAAATACGGATTGGTAAGTATAAATATGTAACTCACTCCAAGGAGAGCGGGGACCTCGTGGTTTGAGTTGGAGTTTTTTGAGATTGAAAGAATCGAAAAAATAAGAGAGATTCATCCTCAACCATATGCAACATAAATGAGATGGTTGTTCGAAAGAGTTCACAGTGATCCCGCGAGTACTTATTTGTTAGGTCAGCAATACTAGCTCTAGCAACCGGGAGGACTAAAGCTTCTCTCTTGGACAAGTAGTAGGCCTGACATTCCGTTATGACATCACAGTACCTAATAATAACGAAATAAAACCTAAAAAACGTAAACACACTTTTCTGACGTATCTGCACGGGATTCCATTAACTGCATAAGCGAGCGAATACGAGAAGCTTTGGCTCGAAATCGACCGTAAAGAAGAATGAATGAATTTTCTGGGGAAATGGCGTCACCAAGTTCCACTATTTCCAAGACAACTTGTCGAATTGAATTCTTGATTCCTTCCTTCACCATGAGTAGAGCGATATTAAGGCAGTTAATAAAACGTGTAAGGAAGGCTTCGGAATCTTTGAAAGTTCGCTACAATGAAAATAAACACCAAAAAATAGAATCTCACATGCTCATTCAGAAAGACAATACTTTGATCGATTGATTGCAAAACCTCATCCATTCTTTCAGCTGATAGAACCAAATTTCTATTGCTTAATTTCTAAAACAGTCAGTAAAGATCGAAAACCAACAGATTCTATTGAGAACAGAGCATTGAATGATTGAAGATATTCCTCTATTTGATCCGCTTTCTCGTTAAGATCAGTTTGTTTTCGAAGGAGATTTTCGCAAGTTTCGTGAAGATTGTTAGTCTTATCCGAGACTGAGTGATATTTTTCCTTAAGTTCATTAAGAATAGAGAGTATTTCTTCCGTCTTGCTTATTATCGCTGTGCAATATTTTTCCTGGTTTTCAAAGTTTGAAAGAAGTTCCGTTTCGGTTTGTATGAACTCGCTGTAATCAGTATGGGATGAAGAACCAAGCCACGAATAAAACTGTGAGGCCAACTCAATTTCAACTGTCTCTTCGCCCGTCTGAGGAATTTGTTCAGATTCAAAACGGGTTCGCGGCTTCTGTACAAAATATTGGATTATAATATTGGGAAAAAATAAATTCGGTATCAGACTTAAGGCACATATGCTGCAAGCAAAATTAATCTTTGGGGATCAATATCGAGCAAAATTACCTGAGGAAGTGGCCGAAAATCGTCCGAATTTAGATAAAAGATCGATTCCGATTGTTTATCAGAAAGAGAGCAGTTGGAATTTTCAATTATACTTTCAGCTGCAAACATTACAAACTTTACCTTCTTTTCAAAAATAACTCGATATTTTTGGAAGATAAAACAGAAATATATCGACAGTTCACTCCAATGATGCGATGGCGCAGACACAACCCAAAACGAATCAAAATAACCTTCAGTATTCGGTCGAATTTGTCCTTGAACTTGAAAATTAATGCTATAATTGCCTGCAAGATATGCAAATGCCCATTTTGAGCACCAGTAATAATGTTTTTATTTATAGCGGAATATTTAAATATCCACGTGAAATCAACTCCAGCTGCATTTATACTCCATTGGTATAATTGCACCAAACTGAAGAATATAATGAATGAAATTAATATTGGTTGCATATTTTTTATCCATAAGTATATAATGCATAATCATTACTATTCCAGGCATATCGTTTGAGCAATTTCTTGCAGAAGGTTAAATCAATTCCAAAATAACTAAACTGCTGTCAAATTCCAAGAATCAAACATAATTCCTGAAGCAATATTAAGTTTCTTAATTTAGTTGAATAATATTTTCTTACCAATATTATGGACTTCGTTTTTCCTACGTTTGACTACGTCGTTTTCTGCATTAGGCCTTGTCCTTGGAAAGCACATGTTTGAAACTAGCGCTGGTTACGATTGTCTTTTTAGATTGTCCTGAAGATTTGAGTGGGTTTATTATGCATATTTAGCCTTTAAATCTTCTTAATCGAAGCCTTTTATCTGTTCTTGTTAATGAATTTAAAATATTGCTTTTGATATATTCATATAATTTATTTGTTGATTTACAATTTTTCTTATTGTTCGCTTTCTCTTAAATTTTCTACAAAATTCCATTTAATTGTGATGCCTTGAAATTTCAATATCTTATGGAGTTTAACCATGTCTTACTTGTGGATACTAGATCATATTATTCTCTACTGGACATCTTGTGTGGCTTTTCGAAATAGAAGGATTTGTATCTCTTTCTACTGATGACGTCGGTTGTATCTCCAAGCTCAACCACTACGTCCACGGTAACTGTGTATCTTCGTCGAGATCAGCCTACTTCAGGTAGTTTCCGTCGTCCACCCGCTGTCCGTTCTCTTGTTCTCTCCGACTTTTTTCTTCCTCTTGAAAAGGCCTCAACAGTCCCATCTTCTCGTTCACGTTCGGCATGTCGATCCTGCCTCCTTGTTGAACCCCCTTCTCAAGATCAAACCACTCTTCCTCCATCTGGTTTTAAGAAAAGTTCTTCCTCAACTCTTCAGCGTTCTGATTCCCTTCTCTCTCGTCTCCAATCCCTTTTTATCATAAAGCGACCTGCTGGATCTCACAGTAAAACAAAAAAACCCCAAGTGCTTCCTAAAATTCAGCCCCCTCTTTTGACTTATGATTCATTCTCTGCCCGGGCTCGATCCCAGTCAAATGCATCAAGGAATCACCACCATTCAATCAAAACCACTTCGGCTCAAGCGTCACCTGCTAGAAGTGTTGTAAATGAACCTCTGGTTTGTAATACACCCTCCCCAAAAGTTACTACCCATGCGCCTCTCACGAGTTTTGCTCCTTCGCCAGTTAAGGTGCAAAGACCTAAGGATTTTTCAATGGTTCGGCGAAGGCAAAAGACTAATCCGACGTTCCAACAGAAACATCTGTCTGCTCATTTACCGTGGGATTCTTTGCCTAGTCAAT